AGGCTTGAACCTTGAGCTCTAAACCCTCAACTCTTAGCACCGAATGAAAGCCCCAAGACCCAAACCCTAAACCCTTAACCCGTAGCCTTAAACCCTGAACCCTAAACCCTAAACCCTAAACCCCATAAACCTTAGACACCTAATGCAACTCTTCAGCCCCAAACCCAAGCGAGGCCTCTTGCTCGGCTACCGGGGGCCCCGCCTCCCCGGAGCAGTGCAAATCCTGGTTCTGGGACCTCTTCGGCAGGCCTGCGGGTGTAGGGGTGTAGGGGTGTAGGGGTGTAGGGGTGTAGGGCAGTTTAGGGCAGTTTAGGGCAGTTTAGGGTTTAGCGTTTAGGGTATAAATGACCACTTATATACCTTCCTAGAAAAGTAGGTAGTCAAGGCCATCGCACAAGAATACTCCTTTTTTACACAAATAGGATTTGTACTAAGCAAAGTATTACTTAAATACTCTCTGAAAAGTCCGCTGAAATATCTTATGTTTACATATTCATGAAGTTTTGTTTCTTTTGAAATAATCATTCTATGCGAATTTGTCTACTAGAGTGTGTTGTTAAGTAAATAGCCCTATTTGACTCAAGTGAATACTACTTAAAGGACCGTACTCAACCAAAAAGCGAAATAAACACTAACAGCAGTAGAAGCGATTCTACTTGCATAACAATGAAGTCTTTGAGTATTTCATGAAGACCACTTATATACTATGTCCGAAGGGCACATTTTGCATAAGCAAGCTTAAAAATGCACAATCTTCTTAGGAAAGTTCTTAGTGAAGGCCATACACAAGCAAATTCGGAAATACAAAACACACTTAAAAATGCGTAGTTATTGCCTCGTGAAGGCGAACCAAAAACCAAAATACCAAAAAACTAATAGAAATATCAATACAAACAATTTTCCGGAACTCTTGGAGAAGCCTCGTAGGGATTCCTGAGAGTTCCGGATTTCGTTTTTTGTTTTTTGGTTGTTTTTTGTTTTGTTTTGTTATTTTGGTTTTGATGTTTTTGGTTTTTTTTACTGTCCCGTGCATTTTCTGAATCTCAGGGTGGGTCCATTTCAGAAAACGCTGGCAAAACCAGCCTTTTCCGAGATTCTATTGTTTTCAGGAAACCTGATGGGCCGTAAACTGCAAGAAGAGGATGGGTCTGGCCCCTCAGCACAGAAAAGAAAGAAAAGGCATAGGTCAATGGGGAGGGGTACCATATTCATATACCATATTAAAACCCTAAACCCTAAACCCTAAACCCTAAACCCTAAACCCTAAACCCTAAACCCTAAACCCTAAACCCTAAACCCTAAACCCTAAACCCTAGCCCGAAAGCGCGGAATGGCAGAATGGCAGGCAGGCGAAGTGGATGGAAGTGCCGCGCCCAGCCCAGGGCTGCTTGTTGCGACTTCCGTGACCCTTTTAGGCTCTTGGGGGTTTAGGGTTTAGGGTTTCGGGTTTAGGCTTTAGGGTTTAGGGGTTTGGCACTTGTAGTGTTCAGGGCTTCTAGGCCTTTTAGTGTTTAGGGCCTTAGGGTCTTTAAGGGCTTAGGGCTTTTAGCGCCTTGTAGGCTGTTGGGGGTTTGGCGCTTCTAGTGTTTAGGGAATTTAGGGCCTTTTAGGGTTTGGGCCGGTTTGGGGCTTTAGGGTCTTTTCAGGGTTTAGGGCTTTTAGGGTTCAGGTTAGGGTGTAGTTAGGGTTTGGGGCACAGGGTTTAAGGGTTTGGGGCCCAGGGTTTAAGGGTTTAGCGTTAAATGTTTGGGGCTTGCATGATCAAGATCGTGGTTTTGAAGCCCTCAACCCTAGACCCTAAACCCTAAACCCTAAACCCTAGACCCTAAACCCTAGTAACCTAGTAGGGTTCTCACGCCCACCCTTCTGAGGAGAAGGTCAGCTCGTCCAAAGCAGACTGGCAGGCCGGGGGAGGGTTGCGTTGGCCCTAAACCCTGAACCCTAAACCCGAAACCCTAAACCCCTAAACCCCAATCCCTAAGCCCAGGGCTCAGCTCCAAGGCCCAGAACCCGCAACCTTGGCAAACAAAACGCACGAGCTTCTTCACTCTCAGCCACCCTAAACTCTAAACCCTAAACCCTAAACTCTAAAAACTAAACCCTAAACCCTAAACTGTGGCGCAGACCTGCGCGACATTGCCAGGTCAGGACAGTGCAGCATGCTATGGGTGACATGTGGCCATGAGTAGTGACAAGGTATGGGTTGGGCACAGATATTTCTGCAGACGTTCCAAAGCAGCACCTCTGCTTCGTGCATTAGGGCATGTTTGTCCAGCATTTCGGGTGCGGTCCAGCGCTGAAACAGGTTTGTTTGTGGTCCATCTAGACCCACGAAAATAGGGCACATTCGTTCCCAGGGCTCATTTCATTCCCAAGCAACGCTAGACCCTAACACAAAGCCTTCGTGAGACCTGCCTTAGAGAGCCCCTAATGAGTTTCATGCCCGAATCGTGAGGCAGGAGCCTACTAACGTCCGGGTTAGGGTTGAAAGCTTGGGATGTTCCCCCCTATACTAACAGTCCTAAAGAGGGATGATAGTACCCTAAACCCTCAAACCCTAAAACCCTAAACCCCAAACCCTAAACCCTAAACCCTAAACCTAAACCCTAAACCCTAAACCCTAAACCCTAAACCCAATCATAATCCCATAAGGACTGTTAGAATCATGGGGAACATCTCAAGTTGAAGCCTCAGACTCCCAAAATCCCGACTCCCATGCTTTTCCAGCCCTCCAGCCTCATCGGTTTAGGGTTTAGGGTTTAGGGTTTTTGGTTTAGGGTAGTCCCTGGCCTGCGCAGATTGCCGTCACGCACTTCCCATGCGGGCATCAGGCGCAAAGATGTCGGGACGGATGTACGGAGGGGATTTAGTCTGGGTTCTGAATTTAAGGAACCCAAACAGGGTTAAGGGTTAAATGTTTAGGGATTAGGGTTTTGGGTTTTGGGGATACTGGGACCCGGAGTAGGCCCTGATTTCCCTTTTTTAGGGTTGGGGTTCCTTTATCATCCCCTTTAAACCAATAAGGGGACCGGCCCCATTGATTCCCAGGTTGTAACCTGGATCTAGTAAACTCAGCTAGGACAATAAGGGCAGCAAAAGGGTACTACGCTTGCAAAACCCACCGCCCGAGTGATTGCGCAGATTTGAGGAGGCAGGAGGCGAGCATCATGAGCTTCAGCTGGGCTGTTTTCCCGCTCACATGGCCTGCCAAGCTCCAGACGCTTGCAAAACCCACCGCCCGAGTGATTGCGCAGATTTGAGGAGGCAGGAGGCGAGCATCATGAGCATCAGCTGGGCTGTTTTCCCGCTCACATGGCCTGCCAAGCTCCAAACCACAGGCGGTTTCGCACAGGACATCGGGCCCCTACCCCCCCCCCTCCCCCCACCCCCCCTACCCCCCCCCCCCCACCCCCCCCCTAACCCCCCCCCACCCCCCCCCGACCCCCCCCCTACCCCCCCTACCCCCCCCCTACCCCGCCCTACCCCCCCCCTACCCCCCCTACCCCCCCCCCCCCACCCCCCCCCCCTACCCCCCTACCCCCCCCCCCCACACATTGTTCGATATAGGGACCTAATAAACTGAGTAGGTGGCTCTTGGTACCCCCAAGGTTTGTGGGTAAGGAGGGGGCATGGGGACATGCTGGGTGATTGTGTTGAGGTGCAGAGCTTCGGAACTTAAGGACGTTCCACATCCGCATCTGGCGAGGGGTTTGGGCCATCTCTCAGAATGCCTGTAAGCCTCCATCCTCCCCAAAGAGGCCCCAAGCCACCCCAAACCCGAAGCCTCCCAAAACCCTAAAACCTAGAGCTATCAAGCCAAAGCCAGCCCAAAAGAAAAACCTTTCTCTCTTCATGGGCTTCCCGACTACCCCTCTCTTTTCTACCCTCCTAGGTTCCCTCCTTAAACACCCTTAGTTAGGCTTAATGATCCTAAGTGGCCTTAGTTGTGGGGGGGTACCTAGCGGGGGTAGTATAGAGGGGGCTACTACACCTAAACCCTCAACCTTACAGCCTAAACCCTAAACCCTAAACGCTAAACCCCAAAACCCTAAACCCGAAACCCTAAACCCTAAACCCTAAACCCTAAACCCTAAACCCTATCAAGCCAAAGAATGTCTCTCCTCAGCGCGACTGGTACGCGAAGCTTCGGGACCTGGGCCTTGATCTCCTTGTGACGGGCCACATCCACGAGCAGCCGGGAGCCCAGGGGTTTAGGGTTTAGGGTTTAGGGTTTAGGGTTTAGGGTTTAGGGGTTTCGGGAGCTTCTGCATGCTTGACTTAGGGCCAAGGGTTGAGGGTTAAGGGAGCTGTTTGGATTTTAGGTTGTGGGTTTCGGGTTTTAGGGTTTTGGGGGACTGGGAGGTTTTGGTTTGCGGGGTGGCTTTCTGACTTAGGGTTTCGGGCGTAAGGTTTTTTTTTTTGACTGAGGTTGTGGAGCTGTAGGGTTTAGGGTTTCGAGGGGCTTCTGGGATATCAGAGTGTAGGGTCTAGGGCGTACGCTTTTGTGCATTGATAGTACCTCAAAATGGGTCATGTGGGCGGATCCCCAAGTGCAATTGCAAGCAATAGGGGCATCAAGGGCCAGTGGTCTAAACCCTAAACCCTAAACCCTAAACCCTAAACCCTAAACCCTAAACCCGATTTCTGAAACTGAAGACTCATCTACCTGGCTCGAGAGCCCCGAGTGGCTATAGGGACTGGGTAGGCAACCTTAGCCTTTTTGGTTATATAGAATCCTACTATATATTAGGGGTTTAGGGTTCAGGGTTTAGGGTTTAGGGAGAGGTTAGACTTTTTTGGGGGCTAGGGTGTTCAGCCTCTAAGGTTGTTTGGTGGTCTAGGAGGAGGAAAGGTGCCAGGGGGATGACTGCCCACGGCCTTCAAAAGTCTGCATCGCCAGGGTTTAGGGTTTAGGGCTAGGGTTTAGGGTTTAGGGTTTAGGGCTAGGGCTTAGGGTTTAGGGTTTAGGGGTTTAGGGGTTTAGGGGTTTAGGGGTAGCCATGGTGGCCGGCCACCTGGCCAACTCTGGCTGGCTCACCCTCGCTGGCACGGCCCTGAGCGGCCTGGGCTCCACGCTCAGCGGGCTCAGCACGCTGCGCCTTCGGCGGAGGGGGGGTTTGTTTAGGGTTTAGGGTTTAGGGTTTAGGGTTTAGGGTTTAGGGTTTAGGGTTTAGGGTTTAGGGTTTAGGGTTTAGGGTTTAGGGTTTAGGGTTTAGGGTTTAGGGTTTAGGGTAGTTTATAGAGGGCTTAAAGAGGGTTTTGTAGAGGGCGAACGAGCGGGTTTCGAGGGCTTGTCTGCTTAGATCCTTCTTGGGTTGTACTTAGACTCTTCCTGGGTTTATAGGGCTTGTCTGGTAGGATTATTCTTCTTCTTCTTCTGAGGGTGCATTGGGCTTGTTTGCTTAGATTAACTGTTTTTTCTTCTTATTCTTCTTCTTCTTCTGCTTTCGGGGGGCCTTGGGGGTTTTTAGCAAGTTTATAATGCTGGTAACTACACTTATAACCCTATCTAGGGCACATATGTCCCTGCTTGCAGTTACCCATGGGCCTCCAAGTAAGGTTTTGAGGGTTTATAGGGGCCGCATCTTAGGTTTTTGTGATGTTTTTTTTTTTTACGGGACTGGAGGACAGCCTTTCTTTTTGAGGATATGCTGAGGTTTGGGGTTTAGGGTTTAGGGTTTAGGGTCCCTAAACCCTAAACCCCTAAGCCCTAGACCTTTTGATCCCTTGACTAGGACCCAGAGCTCCGATCCCTTTTGTTAGGGGTCAGGGGATTCCAGTCTAGTGAGGGTCAGCTTTTGGTGGAGATGTTCTTGCTCAGGTCCCGTGTACTTCTAGTAGCCTTGAAGAAGCCACCCTATAAACCCTCAACCCTAACCCCAAACCCCAAACCCTAAACCCTAAACCCCAAACCCGAAACCCTAAACCCTAAACCCTAAACCGCAAACCCCAAACCCGAAACCCTAAACCCTAAACCCCAAACCCGAAACCCCAAACCCTAAACCCTAAACCCCAAACCCTAAACCCCAAACCCCAGGTATGGCCTCTCCGCGCAGATGCCCCAGTCTCTCGCCGATCTGGCCGTCGGGGGCGCGGCCGCCCTGGGTGCCAAAGCACACCTCGGCGTGCACCCTGCCCTTGCTGTTCAGTTTGGGATTAGGGTTTAGGGTTGAGGGTGGGTTTCGGGTTTAGGCTTAGTTTAGGGTTACCCTAAACCCCAAACCCTAAACCCCAAACCCTAAACCCTAAACCCTATTGGGCTCCAGGGTGCAGGGTGTCCTAGGTCTTGGGGTTTATAGGTTTGCGGGTATTCGGTTTGGGACTTAGTTTAGGGTTTAGGGTTCAGGCGTCAGGGTTTAGGGTTTGTGGCTGTACTGTTGGAAGGCTGATAGTTAGGGATGTTCTTCAGGGTTGAGAGATACCTTTGTCACAACTTGAATAAGTTATGGACAATGCTGCTAAGTGCCCTAACTAAACCCCAAACCGCCAAACCCCCCAAACCCCCCAACATCACCCCAATCCAACAAGCGTCCGAGAGCTGCAACCCCAAACCCCAAACCCCAAACCCCAAACCCAAACCCCAAACCCCAAACCCCAAACCCCAACCCTAACCCCTCACCGCCCATCCATAACTCCTAACCCCTAACCCCTATACCCCCAGTTAACCCCCCAGCATCTGAGGCTAAGCCCTAAACCCTTAACCCTCAGCCCTCAACCCCCAACATCTGAGGCTGGTGAGTGCCAAAGCCTTCAGCCTCAGCACTGTGAGCGTGGGCGCTGGCTGCGTCTACGCCTCGCTGGGCGCGCCTTGCCCAGGATTTCTTGCGGTTTAGGGTTTCGGGTTTGTAGGGTTTGTAGGGTTTAGGATTTCGGGTTTAGGGCAACCCTAAACCCTTTAATTGCTACTATTACTTGCTCAGGAGCCAACCAAAAAAAATCCTGCCTTTTAAGGGCAAGACAGGCATTGCTTTTGTGTTTTTGGAGGTTCTTGAGCAAATCGTAGATTGGTGTTTTGTGTTTGGGGTTTGCTGCTTCGGGATAAGCAAGGTTTAGGGTTGAAGGTTTCAGTGTTGAGGATTACAAGCTCGTAGGTTAGACACCCTAGACCCTAAACCCTAAACCCTAAACCCTAATTAAGCCCTTAGACAATATATACGAGGTTCTTGAGGATGGACCCCAAACCAGCGAAAGCCCTAAAAGCCTCAGTCCGAAAGCCTAAAACCCAAAAGCCCTAAACCCTAATTAAGCCCTTAGCCCCAAACCTAAACACCCAAAGAACCGAACCCCAAAACCCGAAACCCGAAACCCGAAGCCCGAAGCCCGAAGCCCGAAACCCGACATCCCAGATAGTCCACTTTCTCCGGACGCTGGCGCAGCTTAGCGGGGCGCGGCCGCCTCTGCATGCACCCGCCCTGGAGAACGAGGCTGTGAAGCAAGCTAAACCCCGTAAAAGGGTTCAGGGTTTAAGGTCTTAGGGGTTTACATAGGGTCTAGGGTTGTGGACCCTTTTGAAAATTTTAGGATGTAGGGTTGTTTTAGGGGTGTAGGTTTTAGGGTTTACATTGGGTTTAGGGTTTGGGGCTTCAGAGTTCCTGGGTTTAGGGTTTAGCCCATGAGCCCCAGAACCCCGAACCCTAAACCCCTCAGCCCACCCACACCTGAAAGTGTTTAGGGTTTAGGGTTTAGGGTTACCCTCTAGAAGCCCCCCCCCCCCCCTGTTTAGGGTTAGGGTCCCTACCTGCTGATATTGGCCACTCTGACTCTACGTAGTTGTTCGACAAGTTTTATGTGGCATTCGATATTGACTACCCGAGTGTAGTTTCGTTAAGCTTATATGGAGTTCTTGTACTAGACCTAGAGGGTACCATAAACCGTAAACCCTAACCCCTAAACCCGAACCCTAAACCCTAAACTATAGGGTTAGTATTAGGGGGAGGGGATCACTCAGTTTAGTGGCAGCAGGTTTGAAGGGTTTAGGGTCTTGAGAGCCAGGGTTGATAGGGCTTTGGGGTTTAGGGTTCAGGGCTAGGGTTTAGGGTTAGGGGGGCTTAGGGCTTAGGGCTTAGGGCTTAGGGCTTAGGGCTTAGGGCTTAGGGCTAGGGGCTTAGGGTCTCTGAGCCCAAAATCCCGAAGCAGACCCCAATAAACGCCCGCTTGAGGCAGATTCGTCCTTTCCCTTGCCTCGGTGGCCCCTTGGCTCAAGGGATATTCCATATCTTCCCATCTTGGAATTTAGGGTTTAGGGTTTCGAGTTTCGTCAGAAAAAGGCCTTATAGGGGGGGGGGGGGGGGAGGGCAACCCAAAAATTGATGTCTTGGTCAGGTTGTCAGGTTTTCGGGAATTAAGGGGTTTGAGAAAGGGGTCGGAAAAGTCACTCATAGTATTTCCCTGTATGCTCCCTTGATTTAGTACACTATAACAACCCCCCCCCCCCCCAAGACCCTCTATTCTCATTATGAAGGCCCCTATACTAGGGTGCTCGCTAGGTGCATGGAGTCATGGGGGTTCTGCCTGGACCCCCAAGGTTGTACCCTTGGGTTTGGGGAGGGACCCTTTTGTACTCCTCTAAGGGAATATAAGCGCCATGTGAGGCGTATACGAAGGGAACCTCTTAGTTGTACCTCTACCCCAAACCCTAAACCCGAAAAACCCTATTCCCAATATCCTGACAGAGAATGGTCTTCGGCCAGAGAGCCTCAAGGCAAAGCATCGTTTGGGGCCCTAGAACTACTGTAAGTTCAAACAGCCCTAACCCCATGTAGGGCTCCGAATTAGCCCAAGGTAGGTACTCTTTGTAGACTGTAGGGGGCGCACCCGAAACCTTGGGATGTTCCCCCTTACTACCAACAGAATTAATAGGGATTATAGTACCCCGTACCATAATTTAAGAGCCTCCGGCTCAAGCCGCCGACTCCGCTGGAGCATAGTTGAAAGGTTTAAACGCGCTCGTCAACAAAGGATGCCGAAAGTTGATTTGCTTGAGCCTCTCTGAAAACGTTGGCGGGGGGGGGGGGGGGGGGGGTAGGGGTAGCCACCAAACAGGAGCTGAAGCCAGCTTGAAGCCTACCAAGGGAAAAGTAGGGGGTAGGGGGGGGGGGGGTAGGGGGGGTTAGGGGGCCCTAAACCTTAAAACCCTAATCCCTACTAAACCCTAAACCCTAAACCCTAAACCCTAAACCCTAAACCCTAAACCCTAAACCCTAAACCCTAAACCCTAAACCCTAAACCCTAAACCCTAAACCCTAAACCCTAAACATGAACGAAAGGCTCAGCTGGCGCGTGCTGAACTGGGCGGTGATTGGCCCCTGCGGATCCGGGAAGTCCACGCTGATCAATTCACTGCGCGGGCTTTCCGGCGATTTCTTTTCTTAGGGTTTAGGTGTTCAGCTTTTTTTCTGGGGGGGGAGGTAGATAGTACATGCTCGTGATATTAGTAGACAACAGGTATAGCTACATCCCCTCAACCCTCAGACCCTAAGACCCTAGGACGCAAGACCCTCAGACCCTAAGACCCTAAACCTAAGACCCCAAACCCTAAACCCTAAACCCCAAACCCCAAACCCTAAACCCTAAACCCTAAACCCTAAACCCTAAACCCTAAACCCTAAACCCTGGCAAGACAAGGCTCAAGCCGCGAAGTCCCGGAGCCGCCCCGGTGGGGAACACGGCCAAGCCCAGCGAGCCGAAGGCTCCGGGTTGGGTTTAGGGTTTAGGGTTTAGGGTTTAGGGTTTAGGGTTTAGGGTTTAGGGTTTAGGGTTTAGGGTTTAGGGTTTAGGGTTTAGGGTTTAGGGTTTAGGGTTTAGGGTTTAGGGTTTAGGGTTAGTTTAGGGTTTAGGGTTTAAGGGTTTTTAGGGTTTAGGGTTTAGGGTTTAGGGTTTAGGGTTTAGGGTTTAGGGTTTAGGGTTTAGGGTTTAGGGTTTAGGGTTTAGGGTTTAGGGTTTAGGGTTTAGGGTTTAGGGTTTAGGGTTTAGGGTTTAGGGTGTTTAGGTTTAGGGTTTAGGGTTAGGGTTTAGGTTTTAGGGGTTTAGGGTGTAGGGTTTAGGTTTAGGGTTTAGGGTTTAGGGTTTAGGGTTTAGGGTTTAGGGTTTAGGGTTTAGGGTTTAGGGTTTAGGGTTTAGGGTTTAGGGTTTAGGGTTTAGGGTTTAGGGTTTAGGGTTTAGGGCTAGGGTTTAGGGCTAGGGTTCAGGGCTAGGTTTTAGGGCGAGGGTTTAGGGGCTAAGGTTCAGGGCTAGGGCTTAGGGGCTAGGGTTTAGGTGCGAGGGTTTAGGGGCGAGGGTTTCGGGCTAGGGTTGAGGGTTTAGGCTGGGTAATTGGGAGTCTTGAGCTGGCTTTAGAGGTTTGCGGGTTTAGGTCTTAGGGTTTGGGCTAGGGTTTTGGCGTTTACGGTCTGGGGTTGGGGGTTTAGGGGTTTAGGGCAATAGGTTTTAGGGTTTAGGGTGTTAGGGTTATAAAAGAGGGTTTAGGGTCCAGGGGTGTTCAGTGAGGGTGTTTAAGGGTTTTTTGTTGGGGGCTCATGGGCTTTTAGGGGTGCTTGAGTTCTTTTGTTCAGGGGCTCAGGGTTTCAGGTCTCAACCTTAAACCGTAAGCCCTAAACCCTAAACCCGACATGTGTGTGTGGTTTAGGGTTCAGGGTTTAGGGCCGGTTTAGGGTATAGGGTTTAGGGTTTAGGGTGAGACCTGTGGCTGATCGGGCTGCATGTTGCGAAGACAGGGCTTCATGCCACTCAAGGGCCTGCAAAGGATGCAGTGGGAAGACGCTATGGCATATGCAGTCTGGTGGAGCGGCTCGTGGGGGACAGTTGCGGTCCTCCATTGCGTTTCTAACTTGCCCTGCTTTGCCTCGTCGCAGGCTTGCTGCGAGATACAGCATGCGCAGGTATTCGGAACAAGACCCATTCTTGACTGCTTGCTGTGTCTGCAGCCAAGGAGCGACAATAAACCCCAACATAAACCCCCTAAACCCTAAACCCGAAGACTCCAAAACTCTAAAACTCTAAAACTCTAAAACTCTAAAACTCTAAAACTCTAAAACTCTAAACTCCCTTAACCATAAACTTTCTGAACCCTAAACCCGAAACCTTAAACTCCCTAAGGCTCCCTAAAATCAGGGTCTAGGGTTTTCGGGTTTTTTGGTTTAGGGTTTTGGGGTTTTGGGGTTTAGGGTTTTAGGGTTTAAGGCTTAAGCGCACATCCCAAGCTGCAAGGCGTACATGTTCCAGGGGGACCTGGCACGCTTCACGCGCATGGCGAGGCCTGCCGAGACCCAGCCCTCAACCAACGAGGGTTTTAGGGTTTAGGGTTTATGGTTGAGGGTTCAAGTTAGGGTCTTAGGGTTTTCGGGTTGAGGGTTTAGGGTCTTCGGGTTTTAGGGTGTTAGAGTTCAGGGTTTAGGGTCTTCGCGTTTTAAGGTTTTTGGGATTGCAGGGTTTTAGGGTTTTAGGGTCTTTGAGCATTTAAAGTTTTTGGTTCTTGGGGTCTGAGGGTTATAGGCTTTTCGGGTTCAGGAAGTTTATGGTTGAGCATGTGGAAGTTTAGGGTTCAGGGTCTAGGATTCAGGATTTCTAAGCTATGCAGTGAGTCCTCGATAGGAAGAAGTTACATATGCCTACACCAAAATCCAAAGCCTCATACCTCAAAATCCCAAACCCAAGAACCCTAAACCTAAATCCTGATCTCCAAACCCTAAGCCCTAAATCCTCATACAAGGAACTCGGAATTCAACGCAGTGAATGTGCCAAGGGCCAACGTTTAGGGTTTCAGGGTCTTAGTTGTTTTTGCTTTAAGGGCAACGGTTTAGGATATTTTAGGGCTGTACGGTTTTAGGGTTTATGTTGCCCAAGAACTTCCCTTGCATGTGCCTGAAAGCCCCCGAAACCGCATAGGAACCCTCAGTCCCTCAGCCCGAAGCGGGTTTAGGGTTTAGGGTTTAGGGTTTAGGGTTTAGGGTTTAGGGTTTAGGGTTTAGGGTTTAGGGTTTAGGGTTTAGGGTTTAGGGCCCTTAACATTTTCAGAACAAAGGATCTCGAGATCAACCCACAGGAGGCTTCGGGCTTACTCTAAGCCCGAGACCCTTCTTGAGACCTCCTGACGTTTGCTCAGACCCAAGCTTGTCGAGCCACATTGGACTCAAGGTGGACTGTTAAATGTCGTCGCTGACGAATGACCTAACGCTTGCGCTGGAAGTGGACTCGGGAGATGGATGGAAACCTCTTTACCCAGGTCAAACCTTGGGCTTTGCATGGCAAGAAATACCAGTAAGAGTCGTGGTCCGATTGCGTGAGGAGCAGGGCATTGCCACTTGCTTCCATCTTCCTGGAAGTTCCTGCTCGCAGACGATGGCTTCGCGCGATCTGGGGCAATTCGGAGAGCAGGTGCAGGCACTGGCTGATCAAGAGGAACAGTCAATCTCCAAGCACGCAAAACTTCTCGCTCTACGGAAGGGCCGGCTTGAGGCGAAGAGAGACAGTCGGGAATTCCGAGTCTTCGTTGGGACGAGTTTTGTTTCCGCTTTGATTTTCTGGATACCGTCTTACCTGCTAGTTTTCCATTTACTTGATGATCAGTTCACGTGGTGGAATTCAGACTATCAGCTTTGGAAGCTCTGGCTTGCATGTTTTTGCCTGGCGAGCTCGATCGTTATGGGAGTCGTGCAGCTAGTCAGCTTGTATGGCTTGGGAGAGTCTGACGTGTGGAGGGCGCTCATGTGTTGCGAGACGACACGGCTTGACAAGATTTGGCCCCGACGCAGCAGATTGCAACTCGTATGCGCTGCTGCATTAGCGGCAGTGACCTGCCTCAGCCTGCTTGCTGCTTACGTGCACATTGCCCAGCCCGATGATTTTTATTGCCCTTGCGGTGAAGGATGTGTGATTTTATTCGTATGCAGTTTTCAAAACTATGTTGTGTTGTTTGCATTTTTGCCCGCTGAAGTGGCCATCCTCATTGTTTTCACGGTTTGGGCTGGTCTTCTGCTCAGGCGACAGCAGCTGCAGCGAGCTCTGGAAAAGACTATCTCATTCCACGGCCGAGTTCTGCAACAGTCTGGCCAGCCGTGCATTTGCTCTTGGCCAGGGAAGTACGCAACTGAGTGGGACAGGCTAGTGGAAAGCAGCCAGTCTGGCGAGATAAGTGCTGCCGTCGTGTTCTTACCCGAAGGCACCAGGCAGTTCGGAATCCACGACACCATCCCTGCTAGCCAAGGCTTGAAGGGCGAGTGCTGGTGTATCCAACTTTATGGTGAGAAGAAGAAATGGGGATGCCGATGGTGGAGCAAGTGGATGGAGAACGTCGAGAAGGCACAGCAGTCCGGTCAGGAGCTTCACGTCTACTTCTTTGCCGGCATGTGTGGACGAGGCAAGGTGGAGAGTTTTTCCACGGCCGGGGAGGAACATCAGCGGCGTGACGAATTGTTCGAGACCAAGATGTCAGAATTTGAGAAATCCAGCGAATACCAAAACGCAGAAACAGCTGGGCTTGGCAACCTTTCCAGGAAGAAGCGCGAAGATGGCACATCCCAGTACAGTCGAGAGAAGGAACGGCTCTGGTTGGCTTGGCTTCCTGATGGGGACCGACAGTTTTTGGAACGATCGGTCGGTTTAGGCAACTCACAGAAAGCTGAGGTAGCCTGGCTCGAAAAGAAGGGTTACTTGTACAAAGAGATGGACATATCCCGGTGGTTACAAGATGAGGCTAAAGAGCCTGCACCTGAAGAGCTCGGTGCGTCCCGTTTGCAGCTCTAATCCTCCAACGTAGTCGCAGCCATTTTAAAAGTACGTGTGTGTGTGTGTGAAATGCAGGCTCCAAAGGAGCAGGTATATCCGCTTGGATCTTAGGGTTCAGGGATAACACTTAGGGCAAACAATGCTAAGCACGGACGCTAAATGCAGAAGCTTGTGCTTCCGCAGTCTCACAAGTTCTGACATCGTGCTATCCCTTCAGCTCAATCTGCGCAAGGGTGCTCCCCACCTCTGTATCGAAATAGCATCAAAGGCACGTCGTCAATAGTTTCTTCAGGAATTCTGCTTCAAAACGGTTGTGTTTGCATAAAACCCAATGCTGTTTGGGCTGCACACATGAGCCTTGGGCTCATCTTTAAGTTTCTCAGCACCCTTAGCCCGAAGGGGAGGGAAAAGGGATGCGTGCTGTCAAGGTCTTAGGGCTTCAGGTTCCGCAGTGGCTTGGGCACCCTAATTCCCTGAAGCCCTACGTTTATGCCACAGAAAAAAGCAGAAAGTCACAACAAGCATGACATCAAGAAGGCTAAGCGTAATGAGGGTCGTACGGAGATCACAGTCGAAGTTTAGCTCTTAAGCAACAAGAAGCCGTACACCCCGACTGTCCACCTCCAAAAAAGACTCAACCCCCCAAACCTACAAAACGATATAAGCCGTATGCATATATATATATGCACATACATATACATATATATATATATATATGTACGTACCTATGTATATATATATATATACATATATGCATATATATATACATATATGTATAATCTGCTCCAGGAGTCGCGAGCTAAAACAATTGACGAGCGATGGGAAGTGAATCATTCTCCACAGATCTTGGACCACAAGCGATCCACCAAACATGAGACTGTAAGCGGAGTGTCACAGCAGATAAGGGGGTCTTTGTGATGATATTAGTACTGTGATACAAAACCAAAGCAACAAACATTTGGACGTGTATTATTATCTTCAATTTGGTCTTTTGGCCCCAGTCAATGATAGTGCGCTTTCGGAAGATATGGGGCCTGACGGCGCGGCCGGCAGTCGTTCTTTTATGTGAGGGCCAACGCATCGAATTGTGATATCGTGAATGACGTGAACCCCACAAGACGGATGTAAACAATAGTTTGCTTCTGGAGGCTCTGGGACCTGCCAGGCGCCGGGACCAAGCAGTGGCCCTGCGCCACCTACGCGCCTCGCCTCCGCGCGCGTCGTTGTTTCGCTTTCGGACCCTAGAAGATACCCCTCAAGGCCTTAAGGCTTGGTCGTGCAAGGCTTAGGTTTTGGGTTTTGGATTTAGGGTTGAGGCGAGGGGCAGCTCTGGGTTGAGTTGTGAGTTTTGGGGTCCTTAGGGTTCTGGGCTTTTGCAGGAGTTTGGGTTCAGGGCTTTTACGGGGTGTGTTGCGAGCGTTTTGTGAGGGCTTTTGTTGGGGTGTGTGAGAGCTTTGGGGGTTTGGGGCCCCGTGTTTTCTGAGCTCCAGCCCTTTGATGTTTTGAGAGGGTTGGCCCTGAACCCTGATCTGCGGGGGGAAGTATCCCAAAACCCAAACGCCAAATCCCCAAATCCCTAACCTCCTAAACCTTAAGGACCTTCTGCCCTGAGTCCTGACCCTAAAGACATCCCATATGAGCCCTTATTATAGCTATGATTGTTGCTACAGTTACACTCGATATTTTTCAAGTCATTGTAATACTTACTATAGTTGGGTAAGTTAGTGTTGTAAGTACAGTCAGTAGAGTATAGCTCCTCCAAACCCTAAACCGCCTGAACCTTGAATCCCAAACCCTACACCCTACACCCTAAACTCTAAACCCTAAACCCCAAACCCACCCTAAAGCGCACAACTTTCAGGTGCGGGACGCGGGTCTCCGCCACTTCGACGGGGTCCTCATCGTCACCTCGGGCCCGATCTCCGAGTTCGAGGAGCCCTTTTAAAGGGTTTGTAGGGTTTAGGGTTTTGGGTTTTGGGTTTAGGGTGTTTCGAGCTTTTAAAGGGTTTGCTGGGTGTTTCGAGCTGTTAAAGGGTTTGTAGGGTTTTGTGGGGTTTTGTAGGGTTCTTCGGTTTCGGGTTTAGGGTTATCTCCGAGTTCGAGGAGCGGGCTTTTCGGGTTCGGCGAAGTCGAGGTGCTCTTAAAGGGTTTTGAGGGTTTAGGGTTTAGGGTTTAGCGTTGAAAAGGTTTAGGGTTTGTAGGGTTTAGGGTTCAGGAGTTTGGGGTCTGTGGGGTGTAGGGTTATGAGTTTAGGGTTTGTAGGGTTTGGGGTTCAGGTGATTAGGGTTTGTGGGTTTAGGACTTTAGGTTCTAGGGTTCAGGGCGCAGAGCTTGGGGTCTTTTGCTAAGGGTTTCGAGGGTTTGCAGCCTTAGGGTTTAGGGTTTAGGGTTTAGGGTTTAGGGTTTAGGGTTTAGGGTTTAGGGTTTAGGGTTTAGGGTTTAGGGTTTAGGGTGAAGAGCTTTTCGGGCTCTCCGAATTCCGAATCCGAGTTAGGTCTCAGGGTGTGGGCTTGAGGAGCCTAGGGTTGGTAGGATTTAGGGTTTAGGGTTTAGGGTTTAGGGTTTAGGGTTTAGGGTTTAGGGTTTAGGGTTTAGGGTTTAGGGTTTAGGGTGTGTTTCGTAGGGTCTTGTAGAGTTTGTGGGGTTTAGGGTAGAGGATGATGCCCTCTTCGCAGGAGAACCTCATCAAAGAGCTCAAGGAGTTCGATGTCCCCTGCTACCTAGTGCGCAACAAGGCGGCTCATGCGCCCATCTCTAGGGTTTAGGGTTTAGGGATAGAGGGTTTCGGGTTTAGGGTTTCGCGACGTCCGAAAACCCTAAAACCCCCCCAATGCAATCTCGAGACGTTCAGCTTAACCTGCAACAAACAGCTGGTTTGGGGCTCACGGGACTCCAATCCCGACGTCTGAAGCTCTGTGGCCTAGGGACTTATATATATATATATATATATATATGTACATATTTATTAATATATTGTTATTTATATTTATATTTATATATATATATGTATATATATATATATCGTTGCTATGCTTGGGGCTTCGAAGATAAATAACATACCCTAGGCTTTAAACCCTTTCGAGGTAGGTGGCCCCCTCAGTATGCAGGGACCCGTTTTGTACCCCTTATATGCCTCTACTACCCAAGGGCCCATACTTCAGAACCCTGTAAAGGGGTAAGGGACTATATGAAGGGACCATGTAGCTACGCTTAAAGAGGATACGTTAGAGGTGAATGGGCCCGCCCACCTCATTTTGGGGCTACGGGCTATGGGGCCCTTACCCTAAACCCTAAACCCTAAACCCTAAACCCTGTTGCGGCACATGGGCCCTCGTTTCAGGCGTTTAGGAGCTGGAATAGGGAAGGTAGGCCTTCTAAACAATGGCAAGGCGTGCCCCAAACCCTGAACCCCAAACCCTAAACCCTACACCATAAACCCTAAGAACTAAGCCCTAAGACCTCAACTGCATTTTAGGTTGTCTGTAGTTAAGGGCAGTTACTACGAAGCTGTAGGTTGGGTACATCGTCCTTTCTTGGGGTTTATGAAGGGTCTTAAGGGTCGAGGGTTTTGGGGCGCAATTAGGCGGCTTCGGGCTGTTTTGGGGTTTAGGGTTTAGGGTTTAGGGTTTAGGGTTAGGGTTAGGGTACCCTTCTCATGGCGCCCTCTCTCGGCGCGAGGAGGGAATACTGTATCGGGGCCTATACGCTACACCTCTTAGTAGGGAATGAGGGACTGAGGTAGCCTATAATATCCCTTAAGGGTATATATAGGGGATTATCAGGCTCCTACTTCCCTCATTCCCTACTAAGAACCAGGGGGATTAAAGCACTAAACCCTAACCCTAAACCCTGAACCAGCGGGGGGTCACCCTAAACTCCGAGATTGATATGCCCCCGGAAGAGCGGAATTGGGCAGGTAGACCAGGACGTGATGAACAACGCGCAGGACGTAGGGTTTAGGGTTCAGGGTTTGGGGTTTAGGGTTTAGGGTTAGGGTTTAGGGTTTTGGGTTTTGGGTTTTGGGTTTTGGGGGTTTCAGGGCGTCATGGGAAACCAGGATCCTTACAACGAAGCAGACGGCATTGCAAGCTCTAAGTTGCAAGCCCGTAAGCCCCAAGCCCCTAAACCCCCTAAACTGCTGAAGCCCTTAAATCCCTAATGCCCCTAAACCCCTGAAGCCCTAAGACCCTTCACCCCGTAAACCCTAAAACCGCAAAAGACCTAAAGCCCCTATAGACCCCAAAACCCTTAAACCTTGCAAACATTCGTACATCCCGAAAATCCCTAGAACCACTAAAACCCCTAAAGCCCTAAGCCCCAAAGCCTCAAAACCCCTGAAACGGAAAAACCCTGAAGGCCCTTAAAAAGCTCTAACCCCCCCCCCCCAAAAAAAAAAAAAAACAACAACAACAACAACAACCCTTAAGCCCTAAACCCTGAGCCCCCAAAGCCCTAAACCGACCCCTAAAACCCCAAAGGCTCTAAGGTTGGAACCATGGGTTTAGGGTTTAGGGGGTTGTAAAAGGGATCCGAAGTATGGGCTCTTATTTTGTATGGTGTACAAAAGGGCAAGGTGCCCAAAGTAAGCGCCCATACTTGGAACCATAAATAAGCCCGATAGCCCTAAACCCTCCCCGAAAACCCTTAAACCCTAAAGCCCGTACACCCCTCAAACCCCGAGGCTCCTAAGCCCCCAAAATCCCCTAAAACACGCCTAAAGCCCTTAGATAAATCCTAAACCCCTAAAACCTTCGAGAGGGGTTGGGCAAGAAATCTAGGCTTTGAGGCTCGCCGCTATGCTCTTCAGCGGACGAGCCTGTGACAATCCCCTGGTGCTCGGAGCGGCCAATATCTTTTCGGGGTCACGTTGCAGCCACTGGGTTCGGCCAGCGGTCTTTACGTGGACCGTGCCGGGGCAATCACAGGCGCCGTCGGAGGACGCGCCATGGCTGTGAAAGAATCAGCTGAAACCGGAGCTACACCACGCAGACTCCAAGAAAATCATGCGCCGTTTGATCGAGATCGAGGACAAGATTTCTGCGGATTGGACAGGCAAGAAGTGCCCCACATGCTCTGGAGGAACTTTCTTGAAGTTGTTATTAGGACAAGGATGCCCGCAATGCCTGTACTCATTGAAGTGATTAGCTATTTAAGAATAGTAAGCGGTAGGGGTATCAGGGGGGGGGGAGCATGTTTACACATGCATGTATATATATATATATGTTCATATTTGTATATGCAGATGTGTTTTGATCTAAATGTATACGCCTGAGAATGAAGTTCTTTTTGCTGGGTCTGACTACTTGTTGTTTGTTCCGCACCTTGTAGACCAGGTGTACATCCGAACTTAATTTCGCGAATCACTTATGGTGCTCCCTGATTAAACCCTAAACCCTAAACCCTACAAATGTGCCTAACCTGTCCTGGATACTCCCGGTAAGATGTGGAGAGACGTCTGCCCACGCAGGACAACGAGATGTCGACGGAGGAGACGCTGAGAGTCTCTGGGCTGCGTTTAGGGTTTTAGGGTTTAGGGTTGAGGGTTTGGGGTTTAGGGTTTAGGGTTTAAATTTCCAGGATTTCTCATAATTACATAGGATAGTTTCCTAAGTCTGTTCTATCTTAAGCTTATAACATCCTATCGTTTACAGCCATATCAGGCCCTGTCTAGTCAGACCCTAAGATGGTTTTCTTTATCCTGGCAACTGAACCCTTAAGACCTGAAGACCTACTTGTTTGTAGGTTACACCTTAGAGTTTAGGGTTTAGGGTTTAGGGTTTAGGGTTTAGGGTTTAGGGCTAGAATCCTATAAAAGGGTTTTTTTAGAATCAGAGCCTACAAAAATGGCAGGTTGTTGCGGTTCGCAAGGATGGCTCGAAAGCCGAAAGCCCTGCCTTGGAAGCCTTTTTTAACTTCGTAAGTCTACTGGGTTCAGGGTTTAGGGTTTAGGGTTTAGGGATACTAGGAACCAGGGTGGGCCCTTCTTTCTCTTTTTTTACGATGTAGGTTCGCTTATAAGCTAGTTATTCCTAGGTTACTCCCTAGAAAACTCTTATAGTCCCCATAGCCCACCTTACCAACCCTACTGACGAAGTCAAAAGGGCTTCCAAGTACACCCCTAAACCCTAAACCCTAAACCCTAAACCCTAAACCCTAAACCCTAAACCCAAGGGCTTCCGAGTACACCCAGGCTTTGCGACGCGAGCTGGCGCCCAATTCTGCGCCAGCGCGCGCCTTCCTCGTGTCTGCCAAGCACCCCGCGTCTTGCCAAAGGGCTTTGGGGCGGGGAGCCCTAAACCCTAAACCCTGAAACCCTGAACCCTGAACCCTGAACCCTAAGCCGGTGTACGAGGTTTGGGTTTTTTCGGCTCAGGGTTTACGGTTCGTAGGGCAGAGCTTGGGGGGCTCTCGGGGAGTTTGTTCCTGAGTCAGGGATGAGGCGAAAAAGGATGCCCAGACCATTCTAGGTAGCATAAGGGGGACCCTCAAAAGGGAACCCTTCTGAACCCTCTTCTGGCTCTCTTAAACAGGGACCTTATTGAGAGGGTCTATAGCCCCAAGGGTCCCCCTAATCCTACCCCCTAGACTAGACTTGTTTTAAGAAAATGTGGGATCTGGGCCTCTATTTAGCGAGTTTCCTGCTGTTCAGGCTGCTTCCTCCTAGTCAATATACAAGGGTCAAACGGTGTTGACTGTTGACTGTATTTAGCAGCAACCTACAATCACGAGGCCGATGTTGTTTTCTACAACTCATTCATTACCTGCAAAAAGCCGCTTTCCTGACTCAAGGGTTCTGGCAATCACCATCGGTTCCTGCAACAGAAAAGGGCCTTGGGATTCCACTTTTATTCAGCAAAAAGTGAAATATTGGCATCCGTTTGCTATTTTCCCGATGTTAGGGCATTCCTGCTTCAGCGATTCTTGCGGATGATCGGTGCCTGAAGCAGAAAAGAACCTAGAAATTCGAAATTTCGAATTTCCATTTTCCCCGAAAGAAGAAAGTCAAATCCGGGCCTCCGTTTGCTGTTTTCCTGCTGCTCGCGCTGCTAAACCCTACACTCAATCGGAGGCAGGCAGATGTTGTCTTCGAGCAATCATTCATTACATGTAAGACCCCCCCCAAAAAAAAAACAACTTAGTTAACAGCTGTTTCTGACGCGTCGAATTGCTCACGCTTGTTCGAGCCCCTCTAAACCGAAAACCTGCGAACCGTGAACCTGAAACCCTAAATACCCAAAATCCCCAACCCTGGATTTAGGGTTTAGGGTTTAGAGTTTAGGGTTTAGGGTTTAGGGTTTAGGGTTTAGGGTTTAGGGTTTAGGGTCCCCCCAACCCTAAAGCCCTAAAAACCCCCCCAAGGACTGCGCCAAGTTTGACTTCCAGAGCCTTCTCCGTGCCATGGCAGACGACGTGGCGGCACAGCGGGCCGAGGCAAGGCCTGTAGTTCAGTTGTTTTTTTTTTTTTTTTGGGAGGGTAGGGTTTAGGGTTTAGGGTTTAGGGTTTAGGGTTTAGGGTTTAGGGTTTAGGGTTTAGGGTTTAGGGTTTAGGGTTTAGGGTTTAGGGTTTAGGGTTCAGGGTTCAGGGTTCAGGGTTCAGGCTTCACGGCAAGGGTTTAGAGGGTTTAGGGTTTTAGTTTATAGGGTCTAGGACCCAGAGTAGGTCCTTGGTTCCTTTTGTTAGGGGCTTAGGTTCCCTTATAAGGCCCTTTAAACCAAAGAGGGCGCCCTGTTAGTCCGAGGTTAGGGTTTAGGGTTTAGGGTTTAGGGTTTAGGGTTTAGGGTTTAGGGTTTATGGTTTAGGGTGGGTCTAGGGGTTCAAGGTTTTAGTTTACAGGGTTTGAGGGTTTAACTTGGGTTTTATGCTGTTTGTGGTCGAGTTAGGTGTTTCTTGGGGCCCTTTTGGATTTTTTTTTTGGGAGGGGGCGGGGGGCTTTTAGGGTTGAGGGCTTAGGGTGCGAACCCTAAACCCTGAACCCTGAACCCTAAACCCTAAACCCTAAACCCTAAACCCTAAACCCTAAACCTTAACCCGGCTTAAGGGTTTGGAGGGGATTGATTCGACAGAACAGGTGGCCGCCAGGAAGGGCGAGGTCTTCCCTCTGGCTAGCCTTGTTGAAGGTTTAGGGTTTAGGGTTTAGGGTTTGGGGTTTAGGGTTTAGGGTTTAATTTTAGGGTTTAGGGTTTAGGGTTTAGGGTCGAGGGTTTAGGGTCTAGGGTTTAGAGTTCAGGCTTTAGGGTGTAAGGGTTCAGATTCGAAAGGTGCGTTCATGGAGGGATGGGGTCGACAGAAGAGCCGTGCAGGGAAGAGCCGGCGCTGAGATGTCTTCTGAGATGCAATGGTGCAAAGTCATGGTATTGGAGTTTAGAGTTTAGGGTTTAGGATTTAGGGTTTAGGGTTTAGGATTTAGGGTATTGGAGTTTAGGGTTTAGGGTTTAGGGTTTGTGGGCAGGGTCGTAGGGGGTTGAGCGTTTTTAGCATATTCTACTAAGGGTGCCCCTTCTTGGGGGTTGGTTTGCTTTTGCCAAAGCAATCCAACTGGACCCAGGGTTCAGGGTGGAGGGTTGAGGGTTTAGGGTTTAGGGATTAGGGTTTAGGGTTTAGAGCCATATGCATCCCAGACTCCTTGCTAACTGCTTCTTAGGCTTCGAAACGATTGTGGCCAGCGGGAGCACACAGTCTCCGGATGCCGTGCAAAGACTGCATCAAACCCTAAACCTTAAACCCGAAACCCCAAACCCCAAACCCCAAACCCCAAACCCTAAACCCTAAACCCTTCAATCCCTAAACCCCCCCACTCCCCATCCCAAATCCCACGGCCCAAGACCCAACCTCAGCCATGAATCAGGCGCCGGAGCTGCCAGATCAGCTCCCCGGAGTACCGATATACTGTAGGGTCGAGGGTTTAGGGTTTAGGGTTTAGGGTTTAATTTAGGGTTAGGGTTTAGGGTTCAGGGTTCAGGGTTTAGGATTTAGGGTTTAGGGTGCAGGGTTTCGGAGCCTTCTGGGATGTGAGGGCTAAGAGTCGCCATGGCACCGGTGTCCAAACACAGTAAGGCTAGAGAGTAGAGGGCTATCATGCCGATGCTACAAGTTTTGGACAGCCCTAAACCCTAAACCCTAAACCCTAAACCCTAAACCCTACAGCGGGTTCCGGGCTTAGGGTCCCAAGAGTGCTGGGTGCAGGGCTCAAGGTTGAGATTCACGGGGCTGCTACACCTCGACAAGCAGCCGGACATCCCAAAATTGGGTTTAGGGTTTCGGGTTTTGGGTTTAGGGTTTAGGGTTTAGGGTTAGGGTTTAGGGTTTAGGGTTTCGGGTTTTGGGTTTAGGGTTTAGGGTTCAGGGTTCCGGGATTTAGGGTTTAGGGTTTGGTCCTAACCTCTAAGCACCGCTCAACCTCTAGTATCCCAAAGCCAAAGATTTAGTTCCCCGAATACCCCCCTCAACCCCTCATCTTCCGACTCCCTGGCCGCCCCGAATCCCAATCCCCAAGCCCTAAACCCTAACCCCCAAACCCCTAAACCCTAGACCCCTAAACCCCTAAAACCCTAAAACCCTAAAACCCAAACCCCAAACCCCAAACCCACCCCAAACCCTAAACCCTAAACCCCTAAACCCTAAACCCCTAAACCCTAAACCCCAAACCCCAAACCCTAAACCCTAAACCCCAGACCCTAAACCCCAATCCCTAAACCCCAAACCCCTAAACCCCAAACGGGCGCTCGAGGCTGGAAGGGCTTCCGGCGCGCGACCTCCTGTGCTTGGAGGGCCTTGGGTGTGACATGGGCCAGGCGCGGCTGCTCTTCGCTAGGGTTTAGGTAGGGTTTAGGGTTTAGGGTTTCGGGTTTAGGGTTTTGGTCTATTTAGGTTCAATTTTGGTCTTCGGGGAGCTCCAGGCTAGACTAAGCGTTTCCAGAATTATCCGAGATGCCCCCCCTGCATGGTACGATACACCCCCAGCCAGTCTGGCCTAAACTGTACACCCTGGACCCTAAACCCTCAACCCTACACACTAAACCCCCAAAATGTAAACCTCAAACCCTAAACCCCAAACCCTAAACCCTAAACACAGGCAGCCGAGCCGGCCGCCCCGCCATCCTCCGCCGCCCCCACGCGCGACCCGGGGGCTGAGAGCCCGGAGCCGGCGAACACGTTTTTGTGGGCCGGCCGGGCCTGAAACTCTGGGGTTTAGGGTTTAGGGTTCAGGGTTCAGGGTTCAGGGTTTAGGAACTCGGACCCAGAGTAGGCCTCCTCTGTTGTTAGGGTTTCGGTTCCCGCTCCTTCCAACTAAAACGGGCGCCCGTTTTTTCCCCCCCCCCCCTTTTTTGTTCCGGGCGTAGTTGTAGCGCACGAGGTTGTGGGGCCTGCCTAAAGACATAAAGGTGGCTTAGGGTTGAGGGTTTAGAGTTTAGGGTAGCTCCTGTTGTGGTTCAGGGTGAAAGGGTTTACTTCCCCCGATGAGGGGATCTACGTTCCAGCCCTAAAACCCTAAACCCTGACCCCTGAACCCTCAAGCCCCAACATCCGAGTTGCTTTGGGCCGACCGGCCACTGACCCAGTTAGTGCCATGGGATCACAAGGAGAGCCCAGAGCCACTGAACCCCAAACCCTGAACCCTAAACCCCAAACCCCAAACCCTAAACCCTAAACCCTAAACCCTAAACCCTAAACCCTAAACCCTAAACCCTAAACCCCCAAACCCTAATCCCCAGAGTCAAGGCGTACTCAGGAGTCCTCCTTGGGATCCTATGCTATGTTAGTGCCTAGGAAATGTCCCGGCTGAGAGTATCCTGTGGTTTTCAGGCCCGGGGATTTTCGGGAGCTGACGTTCGTGTTTGAAGTCCACTGCAACTCCATTGCAGACCCAAGCCCAAAACCCTAACACCCCCCCCCCCCCCCCCCCCCGAAATGGGGTTTAGGGTTTAGGGTTTAGGGTTTCGGGTTGGTTTACGATTTAGGGTTTGGGATTTAGGATTTTGGGCCCAAGAGAGCAAGAGGGATACGGAACCAGGGGGACATGAATTAGCTCTGCTCTGATCCCGAAGGGTCCTTGCATCTTCAGGCGGAGGGTTTGGGTTAAAGATCGGGGTTAGAGTTCAGGATTAAGGGTAAATCCTAAACCCTTAACCCTAAAACCTAAACCCTAAACCCTAAACCCTAAACCCGCTCTACGAAGCCCCAAACTCCTAAGCCAGGGGCGTACCTGGCTCCCCACCTTGTTGCGGTTCACGGGTTCAGGTTGCTCAGTCAGAGTTCCAGAGAGGGTTTAGGGTTTGGGTTTAAGGGGTAAGGGTTAAGAGTTTAGGGTTCAGGGTTTAGGGTTTGGGGTTTAGGGTTTAGAGTTTAGGGTTCAGGGTTAAGGATTTGGGTTTAGGGGTTAAGGGTTTAGGGTTTAGGGTTTAGGGTTTAGGGCTTTAGGGTTTAGGGTTTAGGGTTCAGGGTTTAGGGTTTAAGGGTTAAGGGTTAAGGGTTTAGGGTTTAGGGTTCAGGGTTTAGGGTTTAGGGTTTAAGGGGTAAGGGTTAAGGGTTTAGGGTTTAGGGTTTGGGTTTGGGTTTAAGGGTTAAGGGTTAAGGGTTTAGAGTTTAGGGTTTAGGGTTTAAGGGTTTAGGGTTTAAGGGTTTAGGGTTTAGGGTTTAGGGTGCAGGGTTTAGGGTGCAGGGTTTTGGTTTTTGGGGTTCCAGAGATGAGGCTGTTGGGACCCTTCGGGTTAGTTTCGATGGGGACCCGCGCAAAAGTCGGTGCGAAGAAAAGGCTCCACTTGTCGACCCCCCCGCCCCCGGGTTTAGGCTTTAGGCTTTAGGGTTTGGGGTTTAGGTTCAGGGTTTAGGGTTTTGGGGTGTAGGGGTTCAACATGTTTTTAGGGTTCGAGGGTTTAGGGGTTCGAGGGTTCCAGCGGGTGCAAGTGTTGAGTGGGGGCTTAGGGTTTGAAATTTGCTGTTTAGGGCCTAAACCCTAAACCCTAAATCCTAAACCCTAAACCCTAAACCCTAAACCCCAAACCCTAAACCCTAAACCCTAAACCCTAAACCCTACTTATGGGGTCCCTTGGGGTTCAGGGTGTAGGTCAGGGTTTAGACCAAATCCCGGACCCTAAACCGCGGCAGCTCTGATTACAATGACGGAATCCCGAGTGGGTACCCCCACAACAGAGGCCTCGCATTGTGGCAGAGGCTTGAAGTTTTGAAACCCTAAACCCTAAACCCTAAACCCTAAACCCTAAACCCGCTTCTTGAAGTTTTTGCCAGAGGGTAGTTCGGGTTGGATTCTACGTGCACGCCAACCGCCGTCTAGGTGTCCAGCAGAAGGACGCCTAGGAGACACGGTTGAGGGTTTAGGGTTTAGGGTTTAGGGGTTAGGGTTTAGGGTTTAGGGTTTAGGGTTTAGGGCCTAGGGCCGATTTGGGCTCCATTTTGGCTTAGTTGGCGCTTTTAATCTGGCGGTTGTTTTTGAAGGGCTGCCCCTGGAATTCTAGGACCACAGGCCCTGAAATTAGTGCCTTAGACGGTTTGGGACTGCTAGTTTAGGGTTTAAGACTTCAGTCCCAAGCCTCTTTCTTGGGTTTAAGGTTGAGGGTTGAGGGTTTAGGGTTTAGGGTTTAGGGTTTAGGGTTTAGGGTTTAGGGTTCCAGAAAGCGAGGGGTTGTGGTGGGCCAACTACATCTCAAAATGGTCCCTCGGTGTAAGGTTTAAGGCTAAGGGTTTGGGGGCTCTAAACCCTAAACCCCACACCCTAAAGCCTAAACCCTTAACCCTAAAGCCTAAACCCTAAACCCCAAACCCTAAACCCTAACCCCTAAAGCCTAAACCCTAACACCAAGCAACGCGACTCGAGCTTGCTGTTCGCCGAGGCAACTTCAATTCCTGCAAGGCCAGCTGTGCTTGCCTCAGCATCCAATCCTAAGCCCTTAAACCCTAAACCCTAAACCCTAAACCCCCTAAGCCCCTAGATCCTAGGTCGCAAGCCCTAGACTCGCCCCCGCCAAACAGAGAGAGAAACAAATCTCAAACCCTGAGCCCTGAACCCTAGACCCTAAACGCGAAGCCTTAAACCCTCAACCCTGAACCCAATGGTTTAGGGTGTAGGGTTTCGGGTTTAGGGTTTAGGGTTTAGGGTTTAACCCTGAACCCTCAACCCAAAGCCCTAAACCCTCAACCCTAACCCCTACACCCTGAACCGCAGCCGGGTCCCAAATGCCCGCGACCACAACGCAAGAAGGTTTCAGTTCCCTCGGCACGTACTAGAAGGGTCGGGACGATTCCTTAAAAAAAACACTTGCCTTATGGTCCCTCTATACTCGTGCTAATTTTTGGAGGCCCCTATGTTACCTCAACTAGGGCTCGGGTTTCATAAGAGTTGGGTTCAGGTTTTCAGGGTTCAGGGCTCAGGGTTAGATTTTTTCTTGAGGTCTCGGAATCATTTCTAATATATAGTCCCTTCTGGTCCCTCTATAGTTGTACCATAATACCTCCCCCCCCCAAAAAAAAAAGAATCTAATTATTCTGGCCCCTACATTACCTCAACTAGGGCTCGGGTGTCATAAGGGTATGGTTTAGGGTTTCGGGTTTAGGGTTCAGGGTTTAGGGTTTTGGAGTTTAGGGCTTGGGGTTTTGTCGGCTACATTATCGGATTTAAGATTCAGGATGTTTAACGTCTCCAGCCGAGGACGTGTCTCGTGACGGGTGGCGGCGGTGGCATCACTTCTGAGAGGCCTGGGGCATTCGGAAGCACGAGCTCCAAACCTAAACCCTCAACCCTGAAACCACATCTACACCCCAAAAAACTAAACCCCAAACCCTAAACTTTCCCTAAACCGTGCAAACCCGAAACCCCAAACCCCAAACCCCCAACCCCCAACCCCAAACCCTAACCTCCCGCTCCTGGAAGAGCCAGGAGCCCGCAAGGGGACGACAGCCGCGAGTACGGTGCCGTCCTCAAAGAACTAGGCTTAGGGTCTTAGGGTTAGGGTTTGGGGTTTGGGGTTTAGGGTTAAGGGTTTGGGAATTAAATCTTGGAGTTCAGGGTTTAGGGTGCACTTGGGGTTTAACCCTAAACCCTTTAAGTTCTCGAATAGTTAAAACCATTGAAGCCCTTTAAGCCCTAAACCTTAACCCTTAAAGAGTTAAGCCCTTGCCCCTGAACTCTTTCGGGGTAGGTCCTGTGCGGGGGTGAACCAAACCCCCTTCATCACCCTTCAGCCTTTACCCTTTAGAAGCTGCAGAAAAGCATCTGTGGAACGCCCTGTTGAGTCCCTCTCACAAGGGTTCACTCGTTGAGTCCGTACTCCGTTACAGCTTAGGTGAAGGGTTTCGGGTTTATACTTGCAATTCTAGCTACTACGAGCAGGAGTCCGTGCCTCTTTATCTCTGCGGCCCCGGCGCGGCCCACGGATCCCCTACCACTGTTCTTTGGCATGGGGGGGGGGGGGGGTTCGAGTTCAGGGTGTTCCTGATACCCGAAACCCTAAACCCTATAAACCCTAAAGCCTAAACCCTAAACCCTATAACAATCCCTAAAGCCTAATTATCCCTCAACCCTGTAGAGCTTAAACCCTGCAAACCTTAAACCCCATGAACCCTAATCCCATTCCAAAGCCGCTGGCTCTCCCTTGTGCATCCGCTGAACAAAGTGGCGCACCTTGCGTGCATCTTCAAGCGTCACAGATGAGACAAGGAAGCTGCTGAGACACAGCAGTGGACATCTTTGTTCCTGTGACTCTGTCTGGATTCCTGTGTATGTGGAGGCAAGCATCACGATTGCCGTACTTGTAGAAGTGCGGGACATTGGAGAATGCAGCCTCCATGGCCCCAAACATTGGAGAGAGCAGCCTCCATTGCCCCAAAGCCCTAAAGCCACCTTGCCTGGATGGGATTCCCAACAGGGGCATAGTCTGAGTTTTCAAGACGGGAATCAAACCCTAAACCCTAAACCCTGAACCCTGAACCCTAAACTCGAAACTTGAGAAGGGCAACGAGGTGGCAGCTGAGCTGAGAGCAGCTTTGGCAAGCTGCTGCGACAAGAGCCTTGCAGTGGCAAGCGCTTTTCTTGTGGACGCCAAGTCGAATTCCCATAGTCTTGGCGATGCTACCCTAGACCCTCATCCCTAAACCCTAGGCCCTAAGCCCTAGCCTGTTTTTGTTCCTTGGAGCAGAAGATAGTTTCAGACATGCATGGGTCCT